TAAAAGCATGGGATCCACCCTTTCCCACCTATCATAGGTTACTATTTTGTAAAGAGCAAGGTATTTTTTCTCTTGATTACCACACCACACACTCCAGAAACAGGCAAGATATTCTTTATAAGGGGGCTTACTGTATAGCTGGAAATTAGTTTTCCAGGGAAGATTAAAATTAAAAGCTATAAGCTTTAGTACAATTTAGATCCTGGAAATTGATAAGAAGGTTGCAAGTTCTTTAACTAATACAAGAATATTGGTTTTCAATGAATCTATATGCAACTGGTATTTTTGTCTTGATTGAATTTATTATTAAATCCATGAAGTACATATAGTATAATATATAAAGTACATATACTCTGTATTTATTGTTTTTTGAATGTGGCTATTATAGAAATAAAAATATTAAAATATTCTAATTTTAACAATTTTTTTTATGCTTTTTATAAATTTTATCATTTCACTAATTTTCCTGTTTTTTAAAGATCTTCATAATCCTTTTAAACTCTTATTCTAGTTTGCATACTTTTGAATTGATCATCCTTTCATAAACTTAGATATGCCGTTATGACTACTGGTAAAGTAATTTGTTACTAGATTAAATTTTAAGTATACTTTGCAAAAGAGGAATCATTATTTGACCTGTATACTTAGCTTCCTAACCTCTATGCTATAAATCTATAGTAATGGATTTACAGAGACAAGCATGTAGATATAACAAACATATGATTATGATAAAAGGGAAAAATACATACATCTGTTCATATTTATGTTAGTCCTTAAGGTGTAGAAGCTTTAGTCACAAGTGAGCTCATTCAAACTTTCTATTTTCCCCTGAAAGATTTTCACTATAAAATTATGAACATTATAAAAGGAACATTGCATTCTCAGTATTTGTTTTAATTCTTATTCATGTCTGTATATTTATTGATACTAAAGTGGCCAGACTGGTACAATCAAACTTAGAATACTTGAGTTAAGGACAAGGAAATCAATTAATGAAATGGATGCTACAAACTCTTATAGTTCTGCAGATTCTCCAGGCTTATTACCTTCAGACTCTTACTTCTTTCAATCCATGCAATATTTTCCTTGTCTGGTCAGTGGTTTCAGCAAGTTCAATATATTAAAAAAAATCCTCAAAGAATTAATCAATTCCAGTCTATAATTGTTCTTTGATGACATGATAAACAATTTGTATAAAAGATGGTTCATGATCATACAAAGCCAAGGAAAGTAATTTGATAGCTGAATACTGACAGTATGAATTTATATAAAATACATTATCAAAAATACTGAAGATTTTTTTTGGATCAGCCTTGTATTAGGCTGATGCAATCACCTTTCTTATGTACTTAGCCTTGAGTTATACTTTGGTTAAAAATTTCATCCATATACTTATGTTCTGAATATTTTTTTGCCAGCCTAGAGATTAAAGATCTAGTTTTCAAAACTAGTCAAAATACTGATAATGATATAATTTGATATAGTTAACAGGGAGATGGAATATCACAAATCAAGTAATTAAGCTGAATGTTGATTATGTTTTAATTCTTATTAAATATTCCATGACTATTCTCTAAAATTTCATGAGAAAATTGATGCTTTAATAAGAGATTTTGGTCACTTGACAATTCATTGATTTGATAAAATGCATTTAGTTTATTTCTGCTCTTGCAGTTTTGGAATAGCAGTAGAATTATAATGTCTACTTAAGTCATGTTTTTATTTTGCCTTTGCCTAATCCATTCTCTCTAGCCACCATTTAGGAGTTAATGTATAATCATTATAACTACAATTACTTTTTTGCTTACATACTTTATATGTAATGATTTCAAAGGTATTAATTGATAATGGGTGTGTTAAAAAAAATTATATCTCTGGGAAAAAATCTGTTAAATAACTAAAACATGTTTTTATCACAAATTTAAAAAGCAAATATTTCATCAAAGAAATTATCACAAATATTGTTCAGGCATATACTTGCTGTTTCAGCCAATCTATTCTTCAACCTTCATCACATGCATTCTGTAATTTTTTTGTAGAACTTACTTGTCTTGCTCACATAATTGTTCTACTTGGAAACATTAAAATGTAACTTTTGAATAACAACTGTTTTCATTTTGTGGATTCAAAAAGTTGTAACAAGAGCAATAATAATTAATTCTGCCACAAAAATATTCATTATTGACTGTATAAACTCCTGGTTGGTGTCCCAGCACTACCAAAACCATAACATTCTTGGCATTGTCACTTAGTGGTGTCATTGATCTTCATGATTATGACATGTAAACATCAGCATGCTGGGAGGTAACCAGATTTTACAATGATTTTGTCCAATCATCATTGAGAATTCAAGTGTGATACTCAACATGTTGTAGTAACCTCTACTGAAAATCAATTTCACAGAGCAAACCAACAATATCTGTTGATAACTAACAATAGGTTTAATTAAAACAAATGGAAAATTTTTCAAGTATATAAGGAATTATTAACTTTTCTATGTAAGGCCTGGTTGACTACTTTTCAGTAGAAAAGTTTTTCTAGCAGTAATTTGTTAAAATATATATGTGAAACATTTTGATACTTACTGTATTCTTTGTCTGTGTTCATTGGAAGCAGGAGCAGTGAAATGACTTTTTTGCTATCTTTCTTATTGTGGTTTGCATCTGTCCTGTTTATAGAATTAAATTTGTTCATCCCTGACATTGATTTATTGTATGTTTTTCAATAAGATATAAATATGACTATCTTTTAATATTTTGTATTTTAGTGGGAAATTTCAAGAAGACCATAAATCTTGATCATATTGCTGTAATTCTTATTTTTAATCTATTCTTTTTTCTTTTTAACTTTTAATTAGTTTACCTGAGTCTTTTCACTGTTCAATCTTATGTCCTACTCCATGTTGTAACGTGTGTCCCCCCACCCCCAGTTATATTCAATCATGCAGTAAAATGTTGAACCAGGATTACCACCATCCTGGTTAAGACTATAAACTACATCCAATAGCAAGGCCTCTGATCAGGAGATTTGAGGAGCATGGAACCACCTCTTCTTTGCTGGTGTTTCCATGTCCACCCTGACCAGGGGTGGTAGCACCTGTTAGGTCCCAACTATGGGCAAATAGAAGATTGGGTCAGAACATGTAAAAATAGGTTTTATTATTAGTAATACATTTCTGTAAAAATTATTACCAGCAACAAATTTTTGAAGAAAGAATTATCAGCAATACATTATTACCAGCAATACTTTTTTTTTTTTTCTTTTTAAATATTACCAGCAATAAAAATTTTGTCTACATTAGATAACCCAGATAGGTTGATATGCCATAAAACAAAAAAAACTAAACCAGGATTACCACCCTGTTATAACTGAATTATGAGTTCTCAAGATTGTTTATCAATTTGATTTCAAGCAAAACTTCTGGTAAAATTTGTAAATTCTATTCATGTTCATATTTGTTAATTATCAACTTCTAGAATCTTTTCATAAGTATCTGCCCTATTTTTATACATTTTTTAAAAAAAAGATAATTTACCTAAACATATCATTTGAACATGCATTCTTAAATTAAAGGCTTTTTCCCTTTTTTTACAGAAAATGACAGCAGTATTTGATTAATTTTTGACTTCTACTCTGCCATCTTCTGTGTTTATATTTTAGTCACATGGATAGGACATTATTGGCCTTTTTTTTTCTTTAACAGTTTTTGTTAAAGATTTAAACAAATTCTTTTTTGTGAGAGCCAATTCATATGAAAGTTACAGAGTAGAATTTTTATTCTTTAATAAAATATAAAAATTGTAGAAGTAAATAAATGTCATGGCAGTCAAGTCAAACAATGTAACAATAAAAAAAAAGTGTTTAATTCAAGTAGGTTTTCTTGATCTCAGTATTAAATATTTTAAGGAAGGACTGAAATCCACTACTCAAAATCTGGCTAAATGACCAAACTTTTTTTACAGGTATTATTGATTGAACCAAAAACTTTGTTTTCAGCACCCACTTGTAATGCTTCCTGTGACTAATGGTCCTTTTCACATTGTATCTTTCCATGGTCACGGAAAATAGGATAACATTAAAAAATTTATTCCAGTGATTTCAGCTACACAAGTAAGGTAATAAAGCCACTAAGATGTTACTACGAGAGAACAATAAAAACAGGAATTTAGATAATGATTGACATTGCATTTAAATTTTTGAAGATCAAAGTTGACTGGAAAGCAAGAAGCTGGAAGAGAGTTCTACAAACGAGAAGTGTGAGAAAAGAAATTGTTAGCAGAGAACTTACTGTTACATCTAGCCGTCATTCCAACTGTAAAATGATGAGACCTTGCTGTTAATCTAATTAATTACTTATATAATTGTGTCTGCACAGTATGTAAATTTCAGAACTCTAAATCTTATTTCATACCAGATATAAGTACATGTGATCTTTTTCTTTTACATGTGCAATTTACAAATAACAGAGATTTAACTTCATCCCCACAAAAATTTGATACAGATATCCTTTTTCAATCATCTAGGAAGAATCTCTTACACCTGTAGATGATAACATGCTGGCTACCTGGAAAGAAATGTCTAGAAATTTGTCAGATTCTTATGTAGGTTTTCATTCAGTTTTATTAATAGAATATTTTTTTCATTACATAATTATCATTTCAGATAATCATGCGACTGTTCTGTCTTGCACATTTCTCTGGTGAAACACATAGTCAAAAAAAGTTGGTAGTGTCATATAATCTCTGTTTATTCTTGCATTCTCAGATGCTTAATAAATATAATAAATAATAACTTAGGAATATCACTTATGGGATAGTCTATTCTTAAGCCTATCCAGGCAATATTGAATTTAGTTCACCTGGAATCAATTTTACAGTCTAGAGTTGTGGTTTTATGTGTATACATTTGTAACTAGCCTTGTGTGAGCAAGCAGATGCATAAATATACATGTATGTTTATACCTATTACTTTTAATTATTCATTTTTATTTGCTATTTCAGGAGGAATGTATATGCCAGCTCAAGCTCTAAACATGCAGGGTGTGCCTTCTGGCAACCCAATGGCTGTTCAGCAAGGCATGCCAGGAATGGTACCTCAGGGAATGATGGTAATGCAGGTATGATCACATGGCACTTACGACATTAAGCTGAAAATATTTTTTAAATGAAGCATGGAAAATGTGTGTTGTTTGATATTAGATATTTTACATTATGAAAATTCAATTTAAAACAAAGGCACAATAAAGAAGTCATCATGTGAGGTGTTAAGTCATAACAGTAACAAAATTATTCTATTGGCTTTTGTGTTAATTCCATGAAATGACATTTTTTCTGGTGTGGCTTTTTAACATGCCAATTGCTATTTTGGTTGGTTGGTTGGGTAGGCAGCATAATGGTTATTGGTGTAGAAAGTGGAATTGATGAACCTTAGTCTGTTGCATTCACTTTCATATGCAAGCCCTTGGAAAAACATGAATCCACCTCGGTTCCCTATAGCTGTGAGTTAAATATTGATAAACTTGTATAATCTATGAGGACAATTTTGAATTCAAAGCAATGATGTAGACAACAGGAAACCACTCCATTACTTTTCCCAATAAGTCACTGCAATTTACAGATAAACCATGATCACCTACATCTGAAAAGATTTTTAAAAAATTGTAATATTTTATTAAAAAATTGTAATGTTTATTTTATATTAGAAGTAAATATTTATAAAGGTCATTAAAATTCAATATATCCCTCCTCCTCCTCCTCCAACTTTGCAAGATTTAGTGTAGAAGCTTTTTTTAAATCCGACTAAATTGTAATGACAAAAAAAAAAGTTGGTGGCATGAAAGAAAAGATAAACTTATAAACTGTCTATAAATGTGTTTAGATTAAAGCAAAATTAAGTTTCTTTTTAAACACTTCATTTAAATTTTTGTACCAAATGATTAGTTCCTAATGATTAACAATTTAAAAAAACAATTCACATCATTTATTTGAGAAAATCTTAGACATTTGATTGGCAGAAAAAAAAATTATTTCATATTTTCTATAAAGTGCAAACAATAAATGGAGTACAATTTTCTCAATTTAAATCAATTTTGTATTTATTTTTTAAAACCTAAATTATTCTTAATAAAGATCACTCAAGAAACACTTATATTTACACATAATCAGACATGCTCAATATTTATTTATACATCTTCTTGTTCATCTGATAACTTGGTTTCTGTTTATAATAAATACAATTACTTCATAACCTATTCCTAGAAAACTTGCTTTCCAAGTTCTGCTTTAATAAAAATAGGGTTAATTTCTTTTGATTACCATCATTATCATTTGCTTTATAAATTTCAGCAAGCCAGCATGTACCAATTGGCTACTGGGGGCATGATGCCAGCAGCTGCTGTGGGTAATCCAATGGCAGCAGGACCAGGAATGATGATGCAACAACCTCAAGTAGGAATGTTTGCTGCTGCCTCTCCACCCCAGCCACAGATGAACATGCAACAGGTCAAACATTTCTTGAACTGTCATTTTTCATTAGTATTCTGATAATTTTTCAAGATACCTGTATAAATGAATAAAAAAAGCCAATATATCTAATAAAATCAAGGAATTATTTCCCTTACTTTGTTATAGGACTTCAGTTAGTAACAAGTGCTATTTCATTTTATTTTATAATAAATAATAATTGTTTGAGGTTTTTGAATTGAAATCATTTTCAATTTTTCATGCTAAATTTCTCATTCTGTCTGATTTCCATTTCTGATGGAGTGAATTGCATCATGGTGCTCTCATTCTCACAAATGATGCTCAACTGACTATACTATACTGTGCAGTCAAAAAAATCAAAAACATTTACACTTGCATGTGTGAAATTAAAAAATATAAAATGTTGACAATTTTACCTATCACTCACTGTTTATGCATACATCTGTTGTATGTGAGTGCCATCTAATGTGCACCTAAACACATCCATACACACACAATTTGACTGAGTTTAAAATTCTACTCCCACTGAAAAACCTTTACTATGAATGAGTAATAAAATCAAAGTTGGAGGCATGAAAGAAAAGATAAACTTATCAACAACTTAATTATTCAAACTTGGTGTGGCTGTGAAATAATAAAAACATATGAACCTGACAGCATAGACACAAAATAAATGTCCGGTTTATTATGTTGATAAAGTAAATTTAGATTAATTTAAAAAAAAAAAATTAATGGTCACAAAAAGTGAATTCGGGTAAAAATAGCTAAATGAAATGAGGGAAAATGGTATGACCAATTTCTCTGTAAAAACCTGTTATTTTTTTTAAACCCTATAAAAGAATCACATAATTGTGAGATTATCAGTAAATCATTCAATAATAAATAAAACATTTTAAAGTTATTTTGTTGTAGAAATATTTTTAGGTGTGTCATGCAAACATACAATTTGAATGAAATTGAAATGGACATGTGTGTCACAAGAACTAATTTCCCTTTCTGTCTGGAAAAGAGTATAGGC